CCTTCCACTCCCCTATTGCTAAACCTCCATGAGATCTTTATTTCTATGATTCTGCTCCTAATCTAGCTGTCCTTTTAGTTTGCTTTTGTTTTAGGTGTGGTTGTTAATAACTGTGAGTTTGCTGTCCTTTCACTGTTCATCTTTTTTAATCTTCTTTTTCTTAGGTAAGTCCCTTTAACATTTCATATAATAAGGGCTTGATGATGATGAACTCCTTGAATTTGATCTTATCTGAGAAGCTCTTTTTCTGTCCTTCCATTCTAAATGAAAGTTTTCCTGGATAGAGTAATCTTGGCTGTAGGTCTTTGGATTTCATGACTTGGAATACCTCTCTCCAGCCCCTTCTTGCCTGTAGGGTCTCTTTTAAGAAATCCGCTGAAAGTCTGATGGAAACTCCTTTGTAGGTGACTGTCCCCTTAGCTCTTGCTGCTTCTAGGATTCTCTTCTTCATTTTAATCTTGGCTAATGTAATGATGATGTGCCTTGGTGTGTTCCTTCTTGGGTCTAACTTCTTTGGGACTCTCTGAGCTTCCTGGATTTCCTGGAAGTCTATTTCCTTTGCCAGATTGGGGAAATTCTCCTTTATTATTTGTTCAAATAAGGTTTCCACTCATGGCTGTTTCTATTCCCCTTCTGGTACCCCTATAATTCAGATATTGGAGCATTTAAAGATGTCCTGGAGGTTCCTAAATCTCTTCTCATTTTTTTGAATTCTTGTTTCTTCATATTTCCCTGTTTGGCCATTATTTTCTTCCTTCTGGTCCCCTCCCTTGATTTGAGTCCCAGTTTCCTCTTCATCACTATTGGTTTTCCGTGCAATTCCCTTCATTTCAATTAGTTTCGCCTTCATATGTTCATCTAATTTGTGACTAAAATCAACCAGTTCTGTGAGGATCCTGATCACCAGTGTTTTGAACTGTGCATCTGAAAGTTTTGCTATTTCTTCGTTGCTTAGATTTATGGGCTCTGGGGCTTTGAGATCTTCTTGAGCCATTTTTGGTCTGGCCATGCCCATTAATTATGAGGAGCAGAGCCTTAGGTGTTTACCAGGGCGGGACCACCAGGTGGTTGGGTTGTGATGCTGTATGTGGGGGTGGGGTCAGAGCGGGGAATGGCAGCTCCCTCTGATGACTCTGGCCACTGGGGCGTGCTCCGTCCCTTTGTCTCACCACCCACTCCCTCAGTGGTCTATCTGCGCACGAATGCGGGACCACAGTCAACTCGCCACCCTGCACCCTCGCTCACTGGGTTGCTCACAGGGTCCGCCTGTTGCAACCCCACACCTGGGATCTGTGCGCCTGAGTCCATCTGACTGAGTTTTCCTGTGCAACCCTGCTCCGCCACTTCTTACCGGTCAGGCTGAAGAATTTGTTGTTATCGGACTTCCGAAAAGTTCAATTTTCTGTGTTCTGGCTGTGTTTTCTGTTGCTAATATTTTGTTGTCTAAACTTGGTTGTGGGAGAAAGCATGGTATCTCCACCTATGCCTCCATCTTGGCAGAAGTGTCTAATCCCTTCTTATAAGGATACCAGTCATATTGGATTAGCTGCACTCCTACCCTGGCCACATATGACCTCATTTTAACTTATTTAGCTTTTTAAAGACCTTATCTTTAAACATAGTCACATTCTTAGGTATTGAGGGTCAGGACTTCAGTATGTGAATTGGGGGACACATTTCAGCCTATAATTCTGCACACCCAAATTTATATTCTTCTCACAACAAAGTACATTCATCCCCCATTCCAACAGACCCCCCAAATTTTAACCCATTTCAACATCTCATCTAAATATCATCTAAAAAATGTATGTGAGAAACTCAAAGTATAGCTATCCTGAGGGGGGATTTTTTTCTAGCTGTGAACCTGTGAAACCAGAAAAGTTATATGCTTCCAAATGCTAAATGAAATAAGCCAGGTGGTGAAAGACAGATACCATATGATCTCACCTTTAAGTGGAAAGTGGAACCTAATCAACAAAACAAGCAAGCAAAATATAACCAAAAACATTGAAATTAAGAACAAAGTGACAGTACAGCGGGGATGTGGGAGGGAATAATGGGGGGAAAAGGGGAAGGGTTTTCAGGAACAACTATAAAGGACACATGAACAAAACCAAGGTGGGGTGGGATGGAGGAAGGAGGTGGGGATGGCTGGGGTTGGGGGGAGTGGTGGGGGAAAATACAGACAACTGTGCTTGAACAATAATTTTTAAAAATGTAATTACATTAAAAAATACAATGGTGGACTAAGGATAGAAATTTCTATTCCAAAAGGAAGGCTTAGAAAAGAAAAAAGATCACAGGTCCCAAGCAAGTCAGAAACCCAGAATGGCAGTTTCTATTAGATTTTAAGACTTGAGAACAACCATCTTTGGTTCAGTGCTCTATCATCTGGGTCTGCCTGGGTGGCCCTGACTTATGGGCCCATCAATTTTATCCTCTCCATCCTAGGCAATGGTCCCACCCCTCTGGAGCTGGAGAGAAAACATTCCCAACCCTTGAGCCTGTGCCTTAGGACTCATAGTAACAATATCAGCCTTGCCAACTTCTGGACAATTGGAGGGGGGCATTTTCCCCTTTTCTTGAAGGATAATGCATGTTTGCAACCAGATATTTCTATTGGCCTATCTTATAGAATTTTAGATGTCCGATGGCCTTCCTATTTTCCCTGGGGTTGTCACTTGCAAAACCTAACCAGAAGGTGTCTTGGATTTTCAAAACTAGAACAGATTCCCAAACCAGACCTTTTTCAAAATTCCTTGTTTTTTATGCTGCAAAAAAAGTTCTGTGCATCGATCAGGGCTGCCAGTTGTGGACAACTGTCCAGGTTCCACCTTCAAGACAACTGGTCTGGGCAGCTGCTGGTTGTGAGCTTGGTGGCAAGCCCCAGGCCATGGGTCACTGAATCCACCAGCAAACAGGCCCCATGTTAGCCACCAAAACTGCTACCAAACTACAGGGGTTTGTTTGCCTGCACATATCAAAGCCCAAACAATCCAAACAGGAGTATGCAACAAAGAAAGAAAAGTTTTATTTAAGGAAATGACACCAAACCCAGAGACATATGTGAGATAATGCTCTAAGACCTTGCTCCCAATGGCTTTTAGGGGTTGTGTTATATGGGGAGGAAGGAGATCATTAATCATGGTGACTAAGGGATTTTGGGTCATTGGATCTACTGACTGGTCAGAGCTAAGAAAGAGGGTAGTTGATCATTGCATCTGGTCCTGATATCAGCCATGGTGTCATTCTGTCTGGCTTTGCAAGGATGTGGTTGGTGAGGATATTCTGTTTTTTCCTGTCTAGAGCTGAAACACAACTGAGGCCTACATGTTATCTTTAGTTTAATGGAACATCTGTTTCTATTCCAACACACTTGAGGCTTTATTCTTAATACTGTTCAATGCTAACCAGAATTTGATATCCTAAAAACTTAATAATTCAGGGAGTAAATGTGGGTGGAAAGAGGGAGACAGATGAGTCAAGCCATGGTGCTATCAGACTGGACAAGGACAATTTAAATCAAAAGCAAGGGAAGAAGAAAGGGTCACATTTAAGAAATGAAGTTTCTGCATGGTTACACTGAGGTCAAGAGACCAAAGAGTAAAACAAAAGATGCTCTCATTGCTCTAACAGCTTAGAAAATTCCAAGGGTTTTGAGAGCTGTGAGCCAGGAATCATTAGACAAAGACCAAATACATTTGAGAAATATATTTTTGTCATCTGAATGACCAAATATGTTTACTATAAGTTATAATATCACACATAATGAAAACACCTTGGAAATTGATAATGTTGGTGGTTGCACAACAATGTGAATAAAGCTAATGCCACTGAATTCTCTATGTAAAACACTAAAATTTAGGTTATTTGATCACAATATGTAATTTAGGTTATTTTACCACAATAAAAAATTCAAAAATATGAAAATAAAAGAATGTAAATGGAAAGTGAAAATTCCAATTCATGTTGCACACTTAAGATTTTTGTACTTTGCTCAAAAAATAAATACAAATCAAATAATAATAAAATTAAGACTGCTTGTTTATTAAAGGACACCTTACTGAAACAGAAATCCCCTGTAGGTCTTTCGTTCTATGGTTCTTTTGACTCACTGCCAATTAGAACTGTGGCTCTCAGTATCAGAACTTGGTAAAAAGGAAAGGAACTAATTCAAAAGTTATATAGGTTTAGAATAATGGCAGAATTCTGCCATTAAATCTCATTTGAAACAAAGAAACATGCACAAACACACAGTCCTGCCCTCCCCCTTTGCCTGTCAGGCCAGTCTCAGAGCATGCCAGTCAGAAGCACCACCTTACAGAAGGAAAAAAATCAGAAGTCCACAGCTCACTTCTCCCAGTTTCTCCCAGTAACCAGTGCTCGTCTGGGCAGACCTCCTGTGGTTCCCAGCATCAACAGTAGTGTCACCAAGATCTCCAGTTCTTAATCCAAAAACCTCATGGTACCTCCTTATGGCTGGCCAGCAAGAGTCCTTTCACCCCATTTTGACTTGTATGGTCCCACAAGGCCCCGCACTGTCCCAACACGGCCATTTGTTTAAATCTTGGCCTGGGTCCTCCTCTGTAACCCCATTTCTGACTCCTCGCACAAATGGCTACATCTGCTAGCACTTCCATATTTTTCACCTTTCTTGGCTGCCATAGTTAGTCCAGGCAGGCGTGGGTCTGTGGCATGGAGTAAACCATCACTGTAACTGAGGAGGTGCTTCTCAGCAGCATCACAGATCAAAGTCATGCCCCTCTCCCAGGCTCATACAAACTATTCAGTATTCCCAAGAAGCTAGCCCAGTATTATCAATATGCAAAGTAACTCTAAATTGCTGTACTGCTGCTTTTCCCAGCCCCACCCCAGCTAGGCTTGTTGGGGATTTGGGGGCTTCTTACTCAGCTCTGAACCTCGTTCCACATTTGTTACATTACCACACTTCTAAGAGGAAGGGGAAGTTTCAGTAAGAAGCACTTTCAGATTACTACAGAATGAACTTGGCTGCCACGAAGTTTCCAGCAGCAGTCTCCTGTGCTAAGAGTATGATCTGGCTGTTCCAGTCTCTCACTTGTCTCCTGCCTTGGCCCAGGTAAATGCCTGAAATGGACTCCTGTAGTTACTGAGTGACTCCCTGGTTTTGTGCAGCTTGCTCACTTTAAATCACCTATATATATGTGTCTGAATGTCCCTCTGCCAAGGGTCTGGGTTGGGCTCACAGTGGTGCATGATAACTTGTTATCTCCTCTCAATTTAGAATGTTGAATGGTTCAGTTACCAAATTAGTTGTGTCTGCAGTTAAGGGAATTGTCTCCTGGGTCATGGGAAATGAGTTTTTCTAAGACAAGACTCTTCCTGGTTTATCACCAGCATGTTGTAGAATAAGCACTAAGATTGGGAAAATAAATCATTTTGCCCAATTAGCTACTGTCTTGCTGTGCAATATCAGTTACATTATTTATTCCTCCTGGGCCTCACTATTCTCATCTAAAATACTGAAAATCCATGAGTCAATTTAGCCAAAATTTCTAGGCCTAACCAAAAACACTAGAAATAATCTTGTTAGTTTCTGTTTACTATTTTTTAAAAAAGATTTCTCTATCTCTCTTTCTTTGATACAAATCAGGAGTTAGGTGGTAGTCCAGCAGTACTTTATATGGCAGAGAAAAAGGAATGATCTAACCCTGCCTGCTTCCTGTTCCCTGCTGTTCATTATGTAAAACATGAAGGTGTATGTCATGTTTGGGTAACAAGTGATCCACTTGGGCCAAAGCATAGGATTCAGGAACATATGGGGCAGGAGACAAGACAGAAAAGCTAGGTCAGAACAAGCCCCAGGGTAGGAGATACAAATAACTAATATTTGCTGAGTGTCTATTCTGTTTTCTAGTTATTTGACCAAGTGCTATACATGCATTATGTACATAAGACTCATGACAGTCTGTACTATTATTATCTCCATTTTTACATGAAGAACTACAATAATATAAATAACTTACCAAATTTCATTAGCCTGCAGGTGGCAAGCCCTTGTGATAGTTCTGAGAAACAATGACATGTTGAACAAACATGGCAGGAACACAAGAGAAAAAAAGAACAGAAATAAGAGTGACCATAAATGTAGAATTACTGGCAGTGGGAATGAGGGGAAAGGTGAATTCATTAACTCATCCAGTAAATATTCATTGAACACTTACTGGATGCCTGGTGTTAGGCTGGAGTTTTTCAAGAAACCCCTGCAAGCTAAAGAGCAGGGTTTATTAGCGGGGAGTAAGAGGGAAAGTGGGGCCAACCAGAGCAGGTTAAGACTTGCTCAGTTGTTCTTAGGTCAGGGTTTTAAAGCACAAAATTCTGCTTAAGGGTAACTGGTTGTGGTGTCAGAGTCTGATTGGCTAGAGCTGGTTGCTAGGTGCCATTTCTGCTGACCATTGTTCTTGATACATCTTGTCAAGCCCAAGTTAAAGCTGCATCCTGTTATGCCAGATAGGCCAACCTCAGACCCCTAATCTTAGCTGGGCATCTGTTTTTCCTGGGTAGGGTCTGCAGACAGCTTCCCACTGTACAGTTTCCTATGGTGCCATTTTTTTGCCTGGTGATTTTCCATTCCTCCTAGGCCTGCCTAGGTCTGTCATTCCTGCTTTTTCTTTTATATAAAGAGGTGGAAGAGATCATATAGGGATGGGGGGGTTATGTCATCTTAAGGCTACTTCCTGCTGAGTAGGACATATTGGGTTTATGGAGCAGTTGGAAGGTCTTCTCCCAGTATTGGCTGATACCTAGGGGTACTTAACAGAAGAATGTTATTGACCGTGGAGGTAGTTGCAGCTTGAACCATTTTGTGGATAAAGGAGATGAGAAGTCTGATGAGTCAAGGACCAATTAGCAGAAGGAGGAGAATAGCTAGGTGTGAGATAAGTGGCAGCAGAATGGCTTTTAAGGGGTGAGGAAAATTGGGAGAGCAGCCAAGCAAACCAGGAGTTGTCATAGGCAGCTTTAGCATTTTTCCTGCTCAGGCAATAATGTCAACGTGCTCTTTGAGGATCTGTAGGTTTTCTTCTACTATACCTGATGTATTGATGTAAAAGCAGCAGGTCTTGTTAAGAAAAGAACAGGTGCCACCCACTTCTGCTGTAAGAAGGTCCAGCACTCTCCTGTTTTGGAAGACAACATCTGCTAGGCTGTTAAGGGATTGTTGTTATTTTTGTAGTATACTGAGAGTGACATTCCAGGTTTCTTGGAGAAAGAAGGAGATGTTAAGGATGGCCCTTTCTAGCTTAGGGATTCCTACAAACCAAAAGAAGCCATGATAGAGGGAATGTCCTTTGTTGGGACGTTCAAGGATGGGGTTGTTGTGATAGTAGCCATCCCAGTCAGACAAATCCCTGGGTATTTGGGGGCCAAGGCCAGTAGCTAAGAAGGATCCTAGATTGGGGAAGGCCCCCGAAGTCACCAGGTTAGAGGATGTGTGGATGGTGGCCTGAGGAATTAGGTATACTATGGTGCAACAGCCTGCCAAGAAGGTGGGAATCCACTGATATACCCAGGCTCCACAGGAATATCCTGTGTGTGCTAGGGATATTCCCTGTGACTGAATCATGTTGTTATGCCTCCCTGCTATCCAGCATTAAGGTTGATAAATACTAGACATTTAAGAGTAGTGTTGGTTGGCAAGAGTGGCATATTAAAGCAGGGGGTCCAGAAGGACAAGGTGTTTTTGAGGGAGGTGAGTTTATCGTGAGAAGAGATATTGACTCCCTGGATATTGCCCCCACCCCCGGCTTGTAAAGACTAACATAGTATGATTGCAGAGGGAGGTGTTAAGTTCTCTGATTCCCTGATGAGGCTGAAGGGACAGGTTGGAGGAGTTTGTCTGAAAGCAGGCAGCTGGGTTGTCAGTCAGGATAGTGGCAAGAGCCAAAGGGACTGTGGGTCGGGTAGGTGGGCTAATATACCCAGAGATACCTCCATCCATTTCATCATATCTAGAAAGTGTCCTTTGAGTTGGGGATGTCTGGGGGAAGACTGCCCAGGTGGTATTGTGAGGTGATAAAGGAATAGGTGATGACTTAAGGGACAGAAAGGTGGAAACATTAACTAATATAGAGAGGACTTGGAGTGTCTTGGCACAAGGTGTGTATGCAGGACAAATCCAGCAGTCAGATTTGTTGGTAAGGGTTACTACTTGTTGTATGATAGAGGCTAAGGGATATTTAAAGCAGAGAGTGGGAAGGGGTAGAAGGAGGGGAACAAAGTGCCACATGGCTAAAGAATACTAGGTTAGGAGGTCAGCTATGAGTAGCATTAGAAAGAGGGCAAAGAAGGAGATTTGGTCAGGGGTAAAGTCCTGCAGGTCACTTTGGAACCAGAGGTCCAAGATGAATTGAATAAGGTCTTCAAATGCATTGATGGGGTGCAGGTGGACACTTACAGTTTGTAGAAAGGAAAGGGCCTGGTAGGGCTCTAGCTCTATTCAAGGGGACAGGACTTAGGTGGTTCTCAATATTTTCAAGGTGAGGTCTCTGGTGGGAGTGCATTGGTATTGCAGTGGCTGACTTTCCTTGGGAACTGGAGATAGCATAGAGATATTGTCTTGAAAGTCAGCCAGCTAATAGGTAGGTTTTAGTCTGGATAAGTGAATCCAGGGGGTCACACCTAGGAGTTTGGCAGCCGTGGGTGTGGTAAGGAGGACAAGTTATGGTCCTGTCCAGACAGGGGTGAGAGATCTGGACTGTAGGGATTTCAGGTAGACATAGTGCCCCGGTGTGACGGTGATGATGGGTGCTTTTTGGGTGGCTACTGGAAGGGCAATATTAGCAAAGTCCCTAAGGAGAGCTCAAGTCTGGGTTAAAATAGGCAGATAATCTCCGTATTGAGAGGCAGGGAGTGGAAGATTTCCTCATTATGGGTGGCCTGCCTTACATAAGTTCAAAAGGACTAAGCATGTGGGGTTTTCTGGGTGCTGTTCAAATCTTAAGGAGGGCCAAAGGAAGGAGTTTTAGCCATGGCAGTTGGTTTTGTGTGCTAAGTTTGATGAGGTATGATTTTGAAATGCTGTTCATGTGCTAAACTTTTCCTAATGATTGGGGATGGTAAGGAATATGTAGCCTCCATTTTATTCCTAAGGCCTTGGAAACCTGCTGAGCAACCTATGAAATGAAGACAGATCTATTGTCTGATTGTATGGAGGCAGGGAGACTGAACCTTGGGATGATGCTTTCCAGTAGGGCCTCAGTGACCTGGGTGGCTCCCTCAGAGACAGTTGGGGACATTTCTACCCAGCCAGTGGAGGTGTCAATGAACACAAGGAGATATTTGAATGTCTTGATGGGGGCAGGTATGTAAAATGGATCTGCCAGTCCTGTCCTGGGATTTGGCCCCTTGCCTAGTATAATGGGTATGGGGAGGGTCTTACCACTCCCTGGGGGGAGGTACATTGACATGTGGGCAAAGCTTAGTGATGTTAGAGAGAACAATATAAAGGGCTGGGTGATGGATGGTCTGTGACAGAAGTGCTGTGAGGGGTTTGGCACCTAGGTGAAATTGATTGTGGAGGTCTTTGAGGATTTGGTGAGCATGTTGTTGGGGCAAAATTACCTTATTGTGTAGGTAATACCACTCTTCATTGTATGTGGCCCCTAGCTGGGCTAGTTCTGTGTATTCTTGTGGGGTGTATTTTGGGGCCTGGGAGGGCATGAGCAAGAATTGGGAATGCGGCTTGGTGGTGTGGGCCTGTTTTTTGGCTTCCAAGTCCACCCTATTGTTGTCTTTGGAAATGGGATCCTTATTGCTCTGGTGTCCTTTGCAATGTATAACGGCCACTTGTTTTAGCAACTATGCCACTTTGAACAGGTGTAAGATGAGAGTCTAACTTATGATTGGGGAGTTCTTTGAAGTGAGAACCCCTTTCTATGTAGAAATGTGTGAATGAATGATATGGAAGGCGAACTTGGAGTCAGTATGTATGTTGATGGGTTGGTCCTGGACTAAGATAAGGGCTCCAGTTAGAGCTATTAGCTTAGCCTGTTGGGAGGTGGTGCCAGGTGGTAGGGGTCTAGATTCAGTTATCCTTTGGGAGGTTACTATGGCATATCCTGCCTTTTTAAGAGGGTCTTTGAAGGTGCTGCCATCTATGAACCACCTGGCAGCAGGAGGAAGTAAAGGGGAATCCTTGATATTGGAGAAAGGATGTAGAACTGATCTGTGAAGTCAAGGCAGTTGTGAGGTGAGGGGTGATTGATAGGGATAGCAAGGAAAGTAGCAAGATTAGCAGTGTTTGGGGTATGTTGAATTTGGACCTGTGGGTTTGTCACAGGTGGGCATAGGTAACCAGGTTCTTGGTGATCGGGACAAAGATTTGAACTGAACACCCAGTTTATAGCAGAGAACATGGGAGCAGGCCAACTCCAAGCAGAGATTGACCTCATTGGCTGGAGGGACTCTATTCATACAGGGCAGATCCTTCCTGGCTAGTTTTGGCAAGCTTTACTGTGACAAGTAGTTGTAAAGCTACTGCACATGTGGTCTCCCATGGTTTTCTCTGATTGGCCTCCAGGGAAGGGGGTCCCATAATGTTACCTAATTGATCCCCCCTTCTCTTGGGATCTGTCCCCCTGGGAAAGGTGATTGGTCACCTTTCCCTTCACCAAAGAATTATAGCTCTCCATGTTAGAGATTGGTGAAAAGGAAAGGAATCATTTATTCAAGTTATACAGACTTAAGAGTAATGACTTAATGTCTTCGTCAAATTCCCAAAGTCCCTTAAAACACCCACAAACATACACAGTCCTTCTTTCCCCCTTTGCCCAGTCCAAGGTACCGTATCTCAGGAAAAGAAATAGAAAGCCGTGTGGTAGTTCTCTGCAAAAGCTGCATGATGATTCTTCTCATGGCTGTGGGGGGCAGGCAGGGAATCCCCCCACTCTGGCCAAAGCCACATGGTTCTCTCTGCTAAAGCTACATGGTGATTCTCTCTCACATGGCTGAGAGAATCCCCATTCTTGCCAAAAGAGCGTGGTTCTCTCCTCAATGGCTTCCACATCTGTGTTTAAATCCCAGCACCAATCTTCCTCTGCAGTCCCATTTCTGACTCTTCCCACAATCGGCTACACCTGCCAGGACTCGCATATCCTCCCAGGTTTACTGGGCTGCCATAGTGAGTCTGGGCAGGTGTGGCCCCATGCATGGAGCCAATTGTCTCCAAGCTCTCATGCAGGCACTGTAACCAGGGGGAGTTGCCATCCAATTACATCTTGAATAGAAGTCACTCTCTTCTCCCTGGCTCAAAGCATGGTCACAGCTATTTAACATATCTATGAAACCAGTTAAAGGTTAAATGACCATTCTAGGGGTTATCTTCAAAACTGTTGCTGTGCAAAACAACTGAATGGCCCTGCTCCATGTATCCCATTCCCCAGCTCAGACTTGTGGGGCTGAGGACATCCCATATTTTTAAATATTTCCTGGACACCCTGAGTTCTGGACCCCATTGAAAATTCTTCTTTTGGGGACCTCTGGCTACACCCTCCTACAGAAGCACCCAAGAGAACAGTGACCGGTGTTGACTGGAAAGATCTGGTGCCATGGCAAGGGTACTTAAAGGGAGGGTCCTCCAGAATGAAGAGCAAAATAGGATGGACGAGCCAGAGGGGAAACTTGAGCTGCTGTACCCTAAGGTTTCTGAATGACTCCATAGTCTGGGAATCAGGGCAACTGGAGATCAATCCTAGTAACGAGGGCATGGGCCTCCAGCCAGGTGCCAGATGCAGGTGCTGGATCCCACATTCTAGCACCAATTAGGCCGGAGTCACTCAAGAAACCAGACAGATGCAGCGAGCTAAGGAGCCGGGTTTATTAGCAGGGAATAAGAGGGAAAGTGGAGCCAACCGAAACAGGTTAAGACTAGCTCGGTTATTCAGGGTTTTTAAGCGCAAAGCCCAGCAAAGGCTAACTGGTTGTGGTGTCAGAGTTTGATTGGCTAGAGCTGGATGCTGGGTGCCATTTCTGCTGACCATTTTTCTTGATACATCTTGTCAGGCCCAAGTTAAAGCTGCATCCTGTTATGCCAGATAGTCCAACCCCAGATCTTAATCTTAGCTGGGCATCCGTTTTTCCTGGGTAGGGTCTGCAGGCAGCTTCCCACAGTAGTTTCCCACGGTGCCATTTTTTCGCTTGGTGATTTTTCATTCCTCCTAGGCCTACCTATGTCTGTCACCTCACACTGTTCCAGTTGCCAGAGGCACATCAAGAACAAATCAGGCAAAAATTTCTGCCCTTAAAACAGGGTGCAGACAGAGGTCACCCAAATAGGCATTTGTAATGGGGTCCAGAACTCAGAATGTCCAGGAAATATTAAAAAGTATACAATGTCCTCATCCCCACAAGACTGAACTGAGGAATGGGACACAAGACTGAACTGAGAGATGGGACACGTGGAGAAGGGCCATTGAGAGCTGTTTTGCATATCAACAGTTTTGTAACTAAACTCAGGCATGCTCATTTAACATATCTATAACTTTTGACCTATTTCATGGATATGTTAAATAGCAGTGGCTGTGCTTTCAGCCAGGGAGTGAGAGTGACTTCCACACTTAATGTATCTGGGAGGCAGCTCCCTCCCCCTGGTTACAGTGCCCAGGAAACTTTGGAGTAAGAGGGGATCCAAGCAGCTTTGGCAAGAAAGGGAGGACTACACGGCATTGGGGTTCCCTTTGCCATGCAGCTTAGGAAGCTGGAAAGCAAGATGTAGCAGCAATGCAGAGTTCTTAGTAGTTTGGAATAATGCAGGAGAGATGCTGCGGGAAGGAAAGGGGTAAAAGGACTCTTGCTGGTGGGCCATGAGAAGATGCCACACAGGTTTGGATTAACTGGAGATCACTGTGGTGACATAGCTGATGGTGCTGGGAACCTCTGGAGGCCTGCCAGCTGAGCATGGATTAATGGGAAGAACCAGGGGCTACCAGAGCCATAGACTTCTGTTTCTTTTCCTGAAATACTGTATCCCTGACTGGGCAAAGGGGGAAGGAAAGACTGTGTGTGTGTTTGTGGGTGTCTTAATGAAGACATTGTCATTACTCTAAGTCTGTATAACCTTTGAATAAATAATTCCTTTTCTTTTCACCAATCTCTGGCATTGAGAGTCATAATTCCCTGGCAGTGGGCAAGGTGAACCTAGCGAGGTGGGCCCCAGGAAGAGGTGGGGTCCATTCAGTAATGGTATATTGTTCATCCTCACCCTCATCCATTTTGTAACACCTTCATGGAGTTAACATTTTAACGGGGAGACAAATGCCCTGGCTGGTGTAGCTCAGTGGATTGAGCGCGGGCCTGCGAACCACACAATCAAGGTTCGATTCCCAGTCAGGGCACATGCGTGGGTTGCAGGCCAGTTCCCAGCAGGGGACTCATGAGAGGCAACCATACATTGATATTTCTCTCCTTCTCTCCTCCCCTTCCTCTCTAAAAATAAATAAATAAAATCTTAAAAAAAAACTGGGAGACAAACTATAAACAAGATAAATAAGTGAAATAATATATTGTATGGTGATAAATGTTGAGGTCCCCCTTTGAGGAGATGGTACAAGGTGGGGGCAATGAAATTTCAGCCAGGGTAGTCAAAGAAGGGGACAAAGTTGGGAAGAGAGGAAATAGACACAGAGAGGAAGGTGAATTTAATAAAATCAAATTAGAAAACAAGTATGAATGACAATGACTCATGCCAGCCCGCATTCCCTCAAGTGAGTTGAACACCGTAACTTGATCTTTTTAGAACATTTAGCTGGAAGAAAAACCATGTTGGACATAATCCTAATAGGTATAATTGGAATCAGGCATCATTGTGTCCTGGGGAAAGTGAGTCTCATTTGTCCCTTCATTATTCTTTCTAGATGGGAGCTTGTTGAATGTTAGTTAATATGCACATAAATTACTAAGGAATCTTATTATAATGTTGATTCTGAGATGGAGGTTAAGATTCTGCATTTATAATAACCTTCTGGGTAACCCCAAAGCTACTTCATGGATTACACTTTGAGTAGCAAAGTTCTAGATTTCATAGGACTTAAGTCATATTGGGGCTATATGAAGAAAAAAATGGAATTAATTCTCTGAATGCATTTGTAAGAAGCAAATACAGATATTTTACTCTTCAGGAGAGAACAGTGGTTGTAAATGAAGGCACGGCCAACACGTGGGTTAGCCAAATGATTCTGGGGATTTGAGTCAAAAACTTGCAGGTTCTTGTAATACAATTATTTTCTTTCCTCCACAGTGTTATTACTTCTTACCAATCATCCAGGCTGTCTAATGTTTATTCTTGTTCACCACAGGCAGAGGGTTGTTTTACATTTTGTCATTATTTTCCAGGACAGTTGTGTCTTTCTACCTTTCATAGTCTGCCACCAGTCCTCACTGTGACCTCCAGTCTTCCAACTCTTTTTCACACTGTAACTGTTACCAAACAGGTCTTGGGGGGGGGCAATATTTGGCTCACCAAGGGATGCCAAAAACTGCTACAGAACAACAGGGGCTCCTCCCAAGGACAGTATACTAATATTTACTGGGCTTATCTGTCTGCCGCCCAGTAGGTATTAGTATACCATCCTTGGGAGGAAGAAAGACATCTCTCAATGCCAGAGATTTGTGAAAAGGAAAGGAAAGGTTTATTTAAAGCTGTACAGACTGAAAGTAGTAACCCTATGTCCCCATAAAAATATCAAAGTACTTTAGGATAACCACAGATGCCCACAGCACTTCCTTCCCCCCTGCCCTAATTCGGGGTACTGTATCACCAGAAAAGAAGCACACATCTGTGTTTCAGGCTGCTAGCACCATCAGCTGTGTCACCGTCCAGGCAGAATCTCTGGTTAATCCAAAGTCATGTGGCACCTTCTCACGGTCCACTGGCAAGAGTTCTTTGTACCCATTTTTCCAGGCAAAGTCTCTTCTGCTTCCATGCCACGTGGCCCAAGGGAGCACCCCAAAGCCGTGTGGGCCTCTTCTACCAAACCTGCAGGGGTCTGCGCTCTTCCAAAACAGCATGGCTCTCCTTCATGACTGCAGGGATCCTCACTCTGCCCCAAACCACATGGCTCTCTCCTTTCACCTCGCCAAGAGGGGGTCCTCACTCTGCTGAAACCATGTGGCTCTCCCTCCTAATGGCTGCAGTGTCTGGGTTTAAATCCCCACGCTAATCCTCTTTTGCAGCCCCATTTCCGACTCTTCCCACAGTCAATTACACCTGCCAGTATTTCTGTATTATTACAAGTTTAGTGGGCTGCCATCATTAGTCTGGGCAGGTGTGGCCCCATGGTGTGGAGCCAATCAACTCCAAGCTCTCACTCAGGCACTGTAACTCAAGGACCCAGCCCCCAGTTACATCCTGGGTGGAAGTCACTTTTATCCCCCTGGCTGAGAACATGGCCACAGCTAGTTAACATATCTATGAAACCAGTTAAAGATTATAGATATGTTAAATGACCATTCCAGAGGTTAGCTGCGAAAGCGTTGCTATGCAAAACAGCTCTCAATGGCCCTGCTCCATTTGTCCCTTCCCAGGGAGGAGGGGGGCAGAGGTGAGGACATCTTAATATTTCCTGAACACCCTCAGCTCTAGACCCCATTCCAAATTCTTTTTTGGGACCCCCCTCCTGGCTGCGCCCTGTTACATAACCAGAAAAGATCCCAGCATTCAGGCTGCCTGTCACTACCAAATCCGATAAACAATGACAGTGATTGAATCTTTTATGGGCACTTTATTCAGATGGCCAGCAATCCAAGAAGATGGTGGGTTCATACCTTAACAAACCATTTTCCCTTCTCTATCCTGGCCAGATCTTTTATAAGGGGGTGGAGGAGGACAAGCAAGGTGCAGTGAGGGCTTTGAGTTTCAGAAGCTGCAACAATCTTATCCTCAGCAGTTAGCTATTCCCATGGGGGATGGTCATCTGCTACCCTGGAAGACAAAAGGCCAAGATGTCTCCAACTTGTCCCTAGGTGGTAATCTCTAGCCAGTGCCCCAGGAGGTCGGCTGTTTTTCTCCGGAGCCAGGATGGGCCTTATTTGTAGTTTCTGAAACAAAAGCTTTAACATACACATTACTTGCTAGACTTATAACATATCACTTTAAGCTTAAATTTTCCCCTTCCCCTCAAAAGATAAATAATTAAAATCTTAAAATATTTTTTTTCAAGTCTTGAGTCTCCTATTGTTACCGAACAAGAGGGAAGTCCGAGGGAGGGGCAATACAATACTTGGCCCACTTAGGGATGCCCAAAACTGCTATACAACAGGGGCCCCTCCCAAAAACAAAATACTAAAATCTACTGGGCCCTTCTGTCCGCCGCCAATTGGAAAGACATCTCTTAATGCCAGAGATTTGTGAAAAGGAAACAAAATGTTTATTTAATGCTATTCAGGCCTAATGCCACTACTAAAATATCAAAGTCCTTTATGTATACACCTACACCCACACAGCATTCCCTTCTCCCACTGTCCCAACTCCAGATACCGTAAATCAGGAAAAGAGCACGCGTCTGTATTGCAGGCTGCTGGCACCATCAGCTGTGTCACTATGCAGGATCTCGAGTTAATCCAAAGTACTGTGGTACCCTTTCATGGTCCACTGGCAAGAGTCCTTTGTACCCAGTTCCAGTCAAAGTCTCTGTTGCTTTTCAGGCCCCGCAGCCAAAGCGGGCACCCCAAAGCCGTGTGGGCCTCTTCTACCAAAGCTGCAGGAGTCTGCACTCCACCAAAAGCATGTGGCTGTCTTCTTCACCTGGCTGCAGGGATCTCCATTCTGGCAAAGCTGCGTGGTTCTTCCCTTTCACCTGGGAAAGAGGGGGTCCGCACCCTGCCAAAACCACGTGGCTCCCTCTTTCACCTCACCAAGAGGGGGTCCTCACTCTGCTGAAACCGCGTGGCTCCCCCCCCCCATCTGGCCAAGCGGGGACCCTTCATGTCTCGGAGCCAGTCTTTTCCAAGCTTCCACCCAGGCCATCTCACTCAGGCGCGCAGCCCCTCCTTACCATTTTGAGTCCAAACCCTTCTCACTCAGGAGTGCAGCTCCTAGTCTCATCTTGCGTCCCCTGCTACTCCCTTCTCACTCAGGAGTGCAGACCTTAGTTACATCCTGAGTCCAGGCCCTTCTCACTCAGGAGCGCAGCCCCTAGTTCCCATCTTGAGTCCCCGCTACTCCCTTCTCCCTGGCTCCAAACTTGGCTACTGCTATTTAACATATCTATGAAACCAGTTAAAGGTTATAGATATGTTAAATAATCATTCCAGAGGTTAGCTGCAAAACTGTTGCTATGCAAAACAGCTCTCAATGGCCTGGCTCCATACATCCCTTCCCCCTGTGGGGGGGGGGGGGTGGTGAGGACATCTTATATGTCTCTCCAATATTCCTATACACTTTGAATTCTGGACACCATTCCAAATTTTTTTTGGGGCCCCCCCTGGCTGCACCCTGTATCGCTATCAACACTTCAGTCCACATCTAGCCTCAGTTGTGTCTCCATCCACAAGCAGACATATTTCTTTTTTTGTTTTTCATTAAGGTAATATTCAAAAAATAAAATAATAACTTTATTATTGTATTAATAAAACAATAGATGTAGTAAATATACATCTAAATATATTCAATGTCAATAATTGCACTTAACTTTTTAAAAATTATTATATTGAACAAAATAATAATTTTAAAGTGTACAATTTAGCAAATTCACATTGTGCCATCACCACGTCTATCACTCCAAAACATTTCCATCACCCCCAAAGGAAATCTTGTACCCATTAAGCAATCACTCATTTCTCCCTCTCCCCAACCCCCCAAAAATAAATGTCTGCTTTCTGCTTCTATGGGTTTACCTATTGTGCATATTTTACATGATGAAATCATATACTATGTGACCTTTTGTATCTGACTTCTTTCACTTTGTACAATTTTGGAGGGTTCATGTAGTATCATCTATCAGTAATTGATTCTTTTTTATTTCTGAATAATATTCTATTGTATATATGTACTACATTCATTTATCCATTCATCTATTAATGGACATTTGTATTGTTTCCACCTTTTCCCTTTCGGGAATAGTGCTGCTATGAAGATTTGTGTATAAGTATGTGTTTGAGTACCTGTTTTCAATTCTCCTGGGTATATAACTAGGAATGAAATTACTAGATCATATGATAATTCTGTGTTTAATTTTTTTGAGAAAATACTATGTTGTAGGTCCTTGCTTTTTATCACTTTGAATACTTCTTGCCAGTCTCTTCTTGCCTGAAAAGTTTCTTTTGAGAAATTAGCTAGTACTTTTATCGGAATTTCTTTGTAGCTTACTCTCTTTTCTCTTGCTGCTCTTAAGATTCTCTCTTTATCTTTAACCTTTGGTGTTTTAATTATGATGTGTATTGGTATGTCCTCTCTGGGTCCAACTTGTTTGTGACTGTCTGTGCTTCCTAGGCTTATATGTCTATTTCCTTCATGAAATTAGGGAAGTTTACTTTCATTATTTTTTTCAAATTAGTTTTTAATTTTTTTCTGTTCCTCTTCTCCTTCTGGCACTGCTATGATTTGGATATTGGTATGTTTGGTGATGTCCCAGAGACATCTTATACTATCCTCATTTTTTAAATTCTTTTTTCTTCTTACTGTTCTGGTTGAATGCTTATTTCTTCCTTATGTTCCAAATTATAGATTTGAATCCCAGTTTCATCTCCTTCACTGTTGGTTCCCTGTAGATTTTTCTTTATTTCATTCAGTGTAACCTCCATTTCTTCCTGGGTCTTTTTTATTTTGTTGCCATACTCAATGAGTTCTTTGAGCATCCTTACCACTAGTGTTTTGAGCTCTGCATCTAATAGGTTTGTTATTTCCATTTCATTTAGTTCTTTTTTTCTGAGGTTTTGTTCTGTTCTTTCATTTGGACCATGTTTCTTTGTCTCCGCAATTTGGCAGCCTCCCTGTGTTTGTTTCTGTGTATTAGGTAGAGCCACTGTAATTCCCTATCTTACTAGCATGACCTATTACAGAAAAGGCACCTGTAAATTGTGTGAGGAGAAGCCATAGATAATCACCAGGGTGGGGCAACCTGCTTCACCACTTTGTGGCTCTCTGTGGGGGCAGATGGCTTTAAGAGGAAACGATGTCACTGTCTGGCTTCTGGACATTTGCCCAGTGCTCACCCTGCACAACTCACACCCTTCCAGTTTTTGCCCTGGTGATAAATCCAAGAGGGTCTTGTTTGTGTAGGTTTTAAGTCTCTATGGATCCTTTAAGCAGAGTCTCCTGGCATTCTGGCAATTTTTTCCACCACTGAGTGGAATGGCATGAAATTTTGTTAAATACTCTATCTGTGTCGATTGAGATTATTATTTTTTCTTTTATTCTCACATTCTCACATTGATTGATTTTGATACATTGAACCACTCTTGCATCCTGGGATAAATTTCATTTGGTCATGATGTATAATCCTTTTAAAATGCTCCTAGATAAAGTTTGTTAGTGTTTTGCTGAGGATTTTTACATCAATATTCATAAAAAATATTGGTTGGTAGTTTTCTTTTCTTTCTTGGAGAGCTGTCTTTGACTTTGATAAAGGTATTGGAGTAATGCTGACCTCACAGGATGAATTAGAAAGTATTTTATCTTCTATTTTATGGAAGCATTTGAGAAGGATTGGTGTTAATTATTCCCTAAATAAGTGGTAGAATTCACCAGTGAAGCCATCAGGTCCTGAGCTTTCATTTGCCAATGTATCTTTGATTACTGATTCAATCTCTTTACTTGTTATAGGTTCTCTCACATTTTATTTTCATTCTATATTTTTTTAGATTTTAAAATTTTTTAAGAGAGGGGAAAGGAGGGAGAAAGAGGAAAAGAAACATCAAGGTGTAGGTGCCTTTCACATACTCCCTACTGGGGACCTAGCCCATAACCCAGGCATGTGCCCTGACTGGGAATAGAACCAGCAACACTGGTTCACAGGTTGGCACTCAATTCACTGAGCCACACCAGCTAAGGCAAATTTTCTTTTTATTCTTAAGTCAGTCTTGATAATTTGTTCTAGGAATTTGTCTATTTTATAATATCATCTTGTAATCCTTTTTTATGCCTATAAACTCTGTAGAATGTCCACTCTTTCATTTCTAATTTTAGTAATTATATATATAATTGTGCATATAGATATAGATATAGATATAGATACACACACAATTTACAATAGCTAAGTGCTGGAAGCAACCTAGGTGCCCATCAGTAAATGAATGGATCAAAGAACTATGGTACATTTGCACAATGGAATTCTATGCAGCATAAAGAAAGAAGGAGCTCCTACCATTTGCAACAGCATGGGTGGAACTGGAAAGCATTATACTAAGCAAAATAAGCCATGTGGTGAAAGACAAATACTATACTATCTCACCTTTTTAAGTATATTTTATTGATTAGGCTATTACACTTATACCATTTTTTTTCTCTCCTTTATGCCCCTCTGCCCTGCACCAGCATTCCCCTCACTTAGTTCATGTACATAGGTCATATGTATAAGTTCTTTGGCTTCCCCATTTTCTATACTATTCTTTTTTAAAAGTATATTTTATTGACTATGTTATTACAGTTTTCTCAATTTTCCCCCTTTATCCCCACTCCACTCTGCAGCCCCCAACCTTCCAGTATCCCCCCCTTAGTTCATGTTCATGCATTATACATATAATTTATTTAACGTCTCTGTTTCCTATACCATTCTTAACCTCTCCCTGTCTATTTTATGCATACCAATTTTGCTTCTTATTTCCTGTACCATTTCCCCCATTCTTCCCCTCCCACTCCCCAGTGGTAACCCTTCATGTGATGTTCATTACTCTGATTCTGTTCCTGTTATGGTTATTTGGTTAGTTTTTGTTTTCATTGTTTTAGACACAGTTGTTGATAGTTGTGTTTGTTGTCATTTTACTGTTCATAGTTTTTGCCATTTCTTATACTATTCTTAACCTCCCCCTGTCTATTTAGTACCTATCAATTATGCTTCTTAGTCCCTGTGGCTTTTCCCCCATTCTCTCCCTTGCCAATCCTCAGTGGTAACCCTTCATGTGATATTCATTTCTGTGATTCTGTTCCTGTTCTACTTGTTTGCTTAGTTTGTTTTTGTTTTTAATTTTGTTTTTTTAGGTACAGTTGTTGATAGTTGTGAGTTTATTGTCATTTTATTGTTCATAGTTTTGATCTTCTCTTTTCTTAGATAAGTCCCTTTAACATTTCCTGTAATAAGGTCTTGGTGATGATGAATTTCTTTAACTTTACCATATCCAGGAAGCACTTCATCTACCCTTCCATTCCAAGTGAAAGCTTTGCTGGATAGAGTAATCTTGGATGTAGGTACTTGCCTTTCACAATTGAATACTTCTTTCCAGCTCCTACTTAACTGTAAGGTTTTTTTTTTGAGAAATCAGCTGATAGCCTTATGGACACTCCTTTGCAGGTAACTGTCTCCTTTTTTCTTGCTGCTTTTAAGATTCTCTCTTTGTCTTTAATTTTGGGCAACTTAATGATGATGTGCCTTGGTTTGTTCCTCTTTGGATCCAACTTCTTTGGGACTCTCTGAGCTTCATGGACTTGCATGTCTAGTTCCTTTGCCAGACTGGGGAAGTTTTTATTCATTAATTTTTTCAAATAAGTTTTTAATGTCTTGCTCTTCCTCTTCTCCTTCTGGCACCCCTATGATTCAGATGTTGGAATGTTTAAAGTTGTCCTGGAGTTTCCTAAGCCTCTCCTCGTTTGTTTGTTTTTGAATTTTTGTTTCTTCATTTGGCCCCAGTTGCATGTTTATTTCTTCCTTTTGTTCCAAATTATTGATCTGAATCCCAGTTTCCTTCCCTTCACTGTTGGCTCCCTGTATATTTTTCTTTATTTCACTTTGTAAAGCCTTCACTTCTTCCTTTATTTTGTATCCATCCTCAGTCATTTCTCTGAGCATCCTGATTACCAGTGTTTTAAACTCTGCATCTGATAGGTTGGCTATGTCCTTATTGCTTAGTTGGTTTTCTGGAGTTTTTATCTATTCTTTCATTTGGGCCATTTTTCTTTGTCTTTCTTAAGGATCAATAGGAGCTCACCTCTTAGAAAACGTGGAGAAGAGTATTTCAGGGAAAGAAAACAATAGAGCAAAGAAATAGCAGAACATTCTTGGAAGAATCACAAATAATCAAGCAGTGGAGAACCTCAGTTGTTATTCAAAACCCTGGTACAATTTTATCTCCTCTGTGAAGTGTTTCCTGACAACCCCCAACTCTTCTTGACCATCATTCTCACAATTTGTGCTCTCACAAAGCACATACCTCTATCAGTTCAACATTTATTGAGCTAGAAATTGTGCTAAGTACTAAGAATACAGAGATAATAAACATAATTCCTATCTTCAAGATTATGGAAAAGAGAGGAAAACAATCTCATTACAAAGAGAAAGAAGTTCTTGATATTGAGCACACAGGGTGCAATTAGTGATTTGAGGGCAATGTGAAAGCAAGCTCTATCTTACCTAGGTCAAAGGCTAACTCACCACATCATAGGTACTGTCTACCAGTCAGACTCCTTTACCACATGCCGAGCCCAGAGAACTGATATGTGTTATTCATATTTGTATTCCAAGTCTTCAGCCCAGAAACTGGTACAGATAAGGAACCTAATATATATGGTCTGAATTCCATGTTTCCTAAGGCTTTGCTCGCTAAATTGGCATAGAACTGAGAAAATACTAGAATGAATGGCTTGTTAAACAAACAAACATTTGCAATCTATAAAAACAAAGGAACCTTAAAGAAATGTGTTGGTGCCATATAAACAGTTCCTGGGTAGTCCTATAGCCACAAGGTATGTCCAGGCTCCTTACAAAAAGGTCCTTAATATCCTGTATAGAGAACATTCAAAAGAAAGGATGAAGATGTGCCCATTCACTCAACAAATACCCACTGAGTACCTACTGTGTGCCAAGCACTGTGTATAGATGTTCACTACAAAAACAAACAAAAGACAAAAAATCTTGCTTCAATGAAACTTACCCTCTAGTGGAAGGAAAAAAGAATTTTTAAAAATTAAATATGCAAATTATAAGGTATGCTAGAGAATAAGCATTATGGGGAAAAACAAATTCAAAGGCAATTGAGTGTATAGAAGTAAGGGTGGGTGATGAGGAAAGAGTGGCCACAGAAGCCCTCTCTGAGAGGGAATGTTTGTGTTAAAGACCTATGGAGACAAAAAAAATAAAACACATGGACACCCGGGAGAAGCACATTCCAGGTAGAGTAAATTGCAAGTGTACCATCACTGGCCATCTCAAAGAATAAACAACTCAGCATAGTTGGAGCAAAGTGAACAGAAAGAACACTTATAGGAAATTAAGAAGACAGAAAAATGACCAGAACATCTTAGTCCATAGATGTCATGGTCAATATTTTGTTTTGGTTTGGTTTTTGTTGTTGTTTTAACATCTTTCACTGAAATGTAATATACAGAAAGAAAATCCTAAGTGTCAGCTCAATGAATTACCATAAAATGAATAAATGTGTGTATACAGACACCAGTTAAGAAATATAACATTACCAGCACCCCAGAATTCCCCCTTTATGCTCCCTTCCTTAACTTGACATCCCTCCCTCCTCCTCAAAGGTAACCACTACCTTGACTTCTAACAACATAGATTTGTTTTTCCTATTTGTTAAGTAAATAAATGGAATCATACCATTATATTCTATTTGTATCTAGATTTCTTTTGCTCAAGATTTTGCCTGTGATGTTTACCCAAGTGGTTTCAAGATAAATAAGAGTGTGTTCAAGTGCTGATGGGAGAGACATAGTAGATAGGTGGGAATGATGATAGCCATGTTCATGTGCCTAGCATTCACATGACAATTTAGAAAAAAAGGAAGCATGAGCTCACCCAGGAGCTGAGTATCAGGATTCCAAGAATATTTCCTCCCCTACTCAGATCTTCTGAGAATTAGGAGGTTTCAAGAAGGCCAGGGTCACAGTTATAGTTATTTACTGATGAATAAGGAAGCATCCTCTTTAAGAATTATTGTGACTATTTTACCTTTATTGTTCAAATGTTATTTGGCTCTGAGATAGTCTCACGAGAATATGGCCATTATGTGTCCTTTTGATATATTTATTACTTTTATGTTTATCTCTTCTAGATTAAAATATTTTTTGGTTTTTTATTGTTGTTCAGTCACAGCTGTCCTGCCTTTTTCCCCATTGCTTTCCCCTACCCATCCCCCTGACTCTACAGTCAATCCCCCCACCATTGTCCATGCCCGTGAGTCCTCTATTCGTATTTCTTTGCTTTTCGATTCCCTGTCTTTCCCCCACCACACATCCCTGCTCTGATCACTGTCAGTTTGTTCCTTATTTCCAAGTCTCTGGTTCTATTTTGCTTCTCATTTGCTTGTTTTATTGATTAGGTTCCACTTATAGGTGAGATCATGTGGTATTTGTTTTTCATAGCCTGGCTTATTTCACTTAGCATAATGCTGCCAGTTTCATCCATGCTGTTGCAAAGGGTAGGAGTTCCTTCTTTCTTTCTGCTGTGTAGTATTACATTATGTAAATGTACCATAGTTTTTTAATCAACTCATTTACTGATGGGCACTTAGGCCACTTTTAGCACTGGGCTATTGTAATAACATCCATCCTTACCTGCCTCACCAAAATTGGTGTAAGCATTAAATGAAGTAAAGCATTAATGAAGTAAAAAAAGAACTGTAAACTCTGATTATTAATCCTCTAAATCTCACAACTCTACTATGTTGGACATATAGTATGTAATCAATAAATGTTGAGTTTTAATTATTATACATTATCAACAAACACCTGTGGACTTGGAGTCTGTGGCAGGAAGTTGATATAGTTACCAGTCCCCCTCCACTTCAGGCCCAGAGAAATAACTCAGGGGTTGGGGTCAGATTGTGTGTATGACCCAAGGTAACCAGTCAGTGTGGGAGGATGAACTGAGCCAGTATCATCTGGGCTAAGTGACCATTACCAAGACACTTTGTTGGGGTGGTGTCTTTCTGATAGTCCATTTCAACAGTTTTTCTAATGTTTTCCCTTTTCTACCTATCTATGGGCTTCAGTAGAGAGCTCTAATAGACCAGCAGAGTTATAGAGAAAGAGTGTAGGAGGATGGTGGGAAAGGGGAAGTTATAGCAGTTTCTCTTCTGTGTTTACAAGAAATGCAGTTACACAAACCACAGCAACTCCACTGCTGGTGGTAAATGGGGTGCTGGGAGAGTCAGTAACTCTCCCCCTGAAGTTTCCTGGAGGACAGGAGATCAATGTCATCTGGCTTCATGATAAAATAGCTATCATCTTCGTACAGCCAAAGGAAGCACAAATCCAGGTGATTGATCCAAAACAGAAAGATCGACTGCATGTTGCCCAGTTCTACTCCTTGCAGATCAACAACCTGACTATGGCAGACAGCGGATGCTATTACACCCAGATAAGCACAACAAACTCCATAGAGATTTCCAAATACAATCTGGGGATATTCAGTGAGTCAAACTTTGGGTTTAATTGTGTATAGACTAAAAAAAATACATATTTCAATTTTATGTGACTGCAAACATGCAATGTAGCCTACTGGTAAAGAATATGGCATTTTGAGCTAGACTAAGATCTGGTGGTAAAGCTACTCAATGGCATCCCACAACTAGTTAGTGATAGAGCTGAGAATAGAACCTAAGTCTTGTGACTTTCAGTCCAGAATTACCTCACTCCTCCTCATAAAATGGTCCCTTTCAACGGGAAATGTAGAGGAAGTAATGAAATATCTATAATCTTGTTATCATGTGTATTACATGTATCTGTCACATAATCCTCACAAAAGCTCCATGAGGTAAGTACTATCCTTACTCCTGAGACACAGCATCAATTACAGCAACCCCCTACAGTCACAGAACAGTAAGTGGGAGAGCTTCCCATGTAACTAGCTGGTGTGATGCCTCTCTTAACACAAAGGCTCTTCTGACCCAGTGGTCAATGTACAGAACAGTGGTCTACATAGAAAATGTTCCATAGGATGATCTGGAACAGAGAATGTGTTTTCTATCAAGGTTGTTTAATTAACAAAACAATATTTCCCCAGATAGCTTGTGTCCTCAATATAAAATTATGAAAACTGTAATGACACAATTTATGAGTCAAGGTCAGAAAAATCTTCTAGCAATGATGCCATGAATGACAGAAATGTTGTACAGGAGATTCAATAATCAGATTGGCAACTTTAAAGGCCACTGAGATTATGTAATTCTTATCTACTAGAAAACCCATTGTCTAAAATTCACTGGGTCCTTCAGGTTAAGACACGCTATCTGAAAAAATGCTGTTCAAGTAAAATGTAACATGTTAACCTTTATTACCATCTGAATATTTGGCAGGATAACAATGTTAGATTAGTCAGTCATGTTCCTGAAAGAATAGGACACATGACAAGTAAATGTCATGACAAAGAGAGGATGTCTGTGAAAGTTCAGAACAGGGATTCCAATTTAAAGGACAAAATTATCTTGGGGCAGTGTATTCATTTCCTGAGATTGCCAAAACAAAATACCACAAAGTTGGTAGCTTAAAACAACCAAAATTTTATTTTCTTACAGATCTGAAAGCCAAAAGTTCAAAATTGAGGTATGGAAATGGCTACAGTTCCTCTGGAGACCAGAGGGGACAGGAAATCTGTTCTTTGCCTCTTCCAGCTTCTGGTTGCTGATGGCATTTCTTGGTTTTCCTTGGCCCCTGGTTATATAACTCCAATCTCTGCCTCCAGGGTCACGTTACCTCTTCCTCTTTCCTGTATTTTCTCCTCTTCTGTCTATTGCATCTCTCTGCTTTTCTCTTATTAGGACATTTACTGGATTTAAGACCCACCCAGATGATCCAGAATCATCTTATCTAATTTAATTACATCTGCAAAGGCCTTTTTTCCAAACAAGATTCTGAGAAAAAATATCTTTGGGATGTCCTCATTCAACTCACTATAGGCAGAATCACTCTGGGTAATTAGTGATTATCAAGGCACTGTTAGGATCCTGGAGAGAAGGAACACATTTAGTGGAAAGTCTGAGAATGTACCCTGCATCAGGTTTCATTACAGTTGTTGAGACAGTGTTCTTCTGCTACCATTCAGAAGACTAGGCATCACTTCTGCAATAACCACGTTCTTAAGGTTCAATGTCCATCCCTCCTTAGAATCATTTAAAGTCCCTCTCCTTCAAAGGTACTTTAAATCAAGAGATGTGTAAGGCTACGCCAATATGTTTTACAATAGTGCAAAAAAATTCAACGTATAAACTATGTAGGTTTTTTAAAATATTGACCAGTTACTTCATGTGCCAATCTAGGAATGGCAAAGACTTTATCTTTATAGGCCAAGACCAATTAGTTGGGAGTAACTACCTACAGTTCATTGTTAAGGAAGGTTGAAGCCATGCTACATGTATTCATTTGTTGACCATAGCCAATGTATAAGTAAATGTTTTAGGCACCTGAAATACATCAGTGAGCAAAACAGGTAAAGATTACTGCCTTCATGGAGCTGACATTCCGGGTGGATAATAGGAGGTAGTAGTAAAAAAGCATATAGTAAGGGTGTCTTTTGGTGTCTCTGGGCCACACTGGAAGAAGAGTTGTCCTGGACCACACATTAAATACACAAACATAACCAAAACTGACGAGCAAAAAAAGGTTTTAAGTAAATTTACTATTTTGTGTTGGGCCACATTCACAGTTATCTAGGGCCATGTGCAGTCATCCCATGGGCTGTGGCTTGGACACCCTTAAATGACATAATATATAAGGAAGCCATGAGTGCTGTGGAGTAAAGAGATTAGCACAACATAAGAAGCAACCAGGTGTGCCAACAGGGAGCAGGGACCAATTTTAATTAGCATGGTCATAATAAGCCTCATTGGGAAGATGACATTTAAGCCAAGACCTGTTGGAGGTAAGTGGGTATGCCATAAAGATATATGGATGAAGAACATCAAGTACACACACTCTCCTGTGCTGGCATGCTCAAGAAACATTAAGGAGCAGAGTGGGGAGAGAGTAATAGGAAATGAGGATAAATAAATAAGGGGTCACATCATGTAAGGCTCTGAATCTCAGTGAGATTGAGAACCATAGGAGGGTTTTACAGAGAAGAGATATGGTTTGACTTGCTTGCTTAAAAGATCCCTTTCCTACTCCATTGTGAATAGTTTGTAAGGGACAAAGGTGGGAGCCACTGGACCAATCAGGAGGTTATTGCAAACAAGAGATGATGCTGGCTTGGACCAGGATGGGAGCAGGGGAGATGATGGGAAGTGGTTGGATTCTTGATATTCTTTCTTGCCTATTAGCCTGTGTGACCAGAAGGATGAACTTGTTATCGAATAAAGTGGGGAAGGCTGCAAATGGAGCAGGTTTTGGACAGAAAAACGAGAGGGAGTTTGTTTGAACATGTTGAGTTTGAAATACACATTGTATTCAAGTGGAAATGTCAAATAGGCAGTTACATATTTATCAAGCAGAAAAAAGTAATAAGATAGCTTTTTGAGGTCAGCCATGAACATAGGCTGAGGGAGATGCGACATTCACACCAAATATTTGCCATTTCTGTGCTAGGCACTGTCTCAGTCAAACCTAAGTAGTAGCTATTATTGCCAGTTTTACAGAGGCTTGAAACAATAGACAATGTATTCATGGTCATGTAGCCAATAAATAGCAAAGTAACAATTCTAACCTAGGTCATCCTAACTCCAAATTCAACACTCTTGCTGTTACATAAAAGCTCTATTCTGACAAAAATAGGTTACACTTGATCTACTCACTTAACTAAACTTAAAGCATTATTCTGTCTCTTCTAATCATACAGTTACAGTCATTCTATTCTTAACTGGGACACCTTTACTTCAAGCCTTAGGACAAGTCTAGGTTACTGACCTTTTCTATACTGTTCCCGTGTTCCCTTTGACCCATAGCTACTGACAGCTCACTAGCCAATATTTCCTGGTCTCTGTTATCAAAAATTTCTGCAGTAAATGTTTTATCAAATGTCTAAATATATTACACTTCCTTGTTGCCCAGAATACCTTGCTTGCTCTCTGTTTCTTCACTTCTTTCTTCCCCAGTTTTCTGGTTCTCAATGTGTCCCTTTCTTCTTGCTGACATTCTGCATCAGGGTCTCTTTGTCAACAGTGCAGCTGACATCAGATACAATGAGCACCAGGATTCCTGTAGACTTATGAAAAATATAATTTCCCAAGGAAGTTAAGCTTCCATCTTCCACCCCAGCTAGGGAATTCTGATTATGAAGGAAACATGGCTCTTGTGCCTGGTTCTGGTTTTTGATCTGGCTAAGGTAAGGCTGGCCCTTAGCTTAGTGTCCAAATTGTTTTTACAAAGGGATGGAAAATAAAGGCTAGAAAGGATCCCAGGAATAAACTGAAGTACAGAAAAGTAAGGTGACCAGCCCAAATGACCCGACTATTTAGCAGTAACCTCAGTCTTTTACTTCTCATTTCTCACACTGACTACTCTGTCTCATAATGATGCCCCTTATCATTTGCTCACCCCAAATGTTGATCACATAAATTAGGCAACATAAACAGAGTTATTTATAGAATATACAGATCACAACATACAGCAGATTGTCAGATGGAATACAGAAACATTGAGGAGAAAGATACTTTTCACAGAGGGATGAGCCAAGCAATTTGTCCTTAATCCAAGTCTTTTCTCTGCACACAGGATGACTGAGGAACTTACAAGTTACTAATCACACTGAACTCTCTGACAGTGGGACCTGTGAGATCCACCTAATCTGTTCTGTGGAGAGTCCAAACGACCATGTCTCATTCAGGTGGCAGATCACAGGAAACATACCCCTAGAGGAAGCAAACCTCACTATCTTTTGGAACCCCAAGAATTCCAGTGAACAAACCTATACTTGCACAGCTATGAATCCTGTTAGCAACTTATCCTTTTCTCTCTATGCCCAAAGTCTCTGCAAAGGTAACAGTCTGTCGCAGGTCTTTCTAAGAGCCTTGAGTTGCTGTGGAGTATGGCATGACTACATGACCTACATGATTCCCAAAACAGCAGCCCAGTAGGAAGCAGACAAAGATGCTGGGAGAAGACAGACACCCTCTGGTGCTCTGTGTTTCTCACTAACCCCAGAGGTCTTACCTTCCTCCCCCACCACGCTCCCAATCCTTCTCCAACATACTCAGAGCCCAAGAGCAAAGTCCTTGGGAAAGCAGAATTGTTTTTTTCTCTTGGCACTAACAGGCTCTACCCTGCCCTATCTACCACTTCCAGAAATTCTGCCCAGAACCCTAGAGCTTCTGGGTACAAATGAACCCACCCCTAAATGTGACCTAGCAGAGGTTAAGTGTAGGCTAGGAGAAGAACACTGGACCTCAATCTTTTTTTTTTTTTTTCAGAGAGAACGGAAGCAGGGGAGAAAAAGAGGGAGATAAACAGTGTGAAACATTGATCAGTTGCCTCTTGAACACTCCCAATCAGGGACTTGGTTCACAACCCAGTCATGTGCCCTGACCAGGAATCAAACAATCCACATTTTGCTTTTTGAGACAATGCCCAACCCCCTTAATGTGTCTTAAGTGTAACTTCCTTTTTTTTTCTTTTCGGGTGTTTTTCACAAGAAAAATCAACACCCAAATATATGGATTATAATAGTGCTTTCTTTTATCTGTATCACTGTGTGTCCAATGTTTGTTTGGAGGAAAAGAATAACAGGTTTTCTTTCTTCCTATTTGTTTCTTCTCCAAGGTTTCAGACAGTTAGAGTCCGGGGTTCCCTTTACCTGTCTCTTTTGTAAGACATGTAAAGAGAGGGAGGATGTAAATACTGGTTCAGCTAGTCCACTGGGACAACATCTGGAATATAACCACACACCTGCTAATTTCCTGACAAAGGTGTCTTATTGGGAAATGTAGGACCCGGTCTCAGGGCCTGTCTGCCCTTCCCTTTCTGGTCCTCTTCCATTATATCTTCTGGAGAGACACCTATAGGGGTGGAAGAATGGAAGATCTTTCTCACTAGTCACAAGTTTCAATTTACCTGATTTTATTTTCCAGGTTTCTTACAGTTTTCTACTCATCAAACCCAGAATCCTGGTGAGCTTCTGGATTCTTAAATCCCAATCATAAAACAGATGGGAAGAGCCAAATGAAAGAAGAAAGGGGCCGGTCAGAGGCCTGGATAATAGAGGATGGAGTCGGAATGTCATTACTCGCATGGACCAGATGGTGCCAGGGAAGAACATGTGACTGTGAGTTTGTCCCCTGTGGGACTTACAGGGTCCCTTGCACACATGTGAACCAGTCGCTGACACAATTTCATAGAGTCAGATTAGGGTCATTCCCTATCCTGCTGATGGAAAAACTAAGTGTCAAAGAAAGTGCTCATAGCCTGGCCATTATCACCCAAAAAATCCAGGGCAAGGATAGGATTGGAGTATCAAAACCCCATAGACAAACTGCCTGACCACATCACTTTATTCATCCAGGGTTTGGGTATTGAATAAAAAGAATCAAAAGAGAAAATGTAATAGACTGGGATGCAGACTCTGGACTCAGATTAGCACTGAGTCTCATTTCATGAATGAAGAGATATATGATGTTATGTGTAGAGAGAAGGGCATAAGGTTTGGAGTCAGAAGGCACACACTTAAGTTTCTTATTCCACCACTTCCTCTGTAATTTTGTACCAAGTTAGCTGACTTTTCTGAGTTTACAATTCCTCATCTCTAATGTAATCAAACCCACCTGAAGGACCTCTGAAAAGTTTAATAACATGCACATGAAGTAATCCAGCTTCACTATGCTGGCCAGTGAGGTTCTCTAAGTGTTATGTATGTGGTACCATTTGGTCCTAGGAACTTCCTTGCTTAAGTGTGAATACAGTGAGAGACTCTAAAACTTTAGGCTACCACCAGACAAGAGATGAGGTCAGAAATAGATAACATGACTAAGAAGTTCCTGGTTCCACCCAGAATTCCAAAGATTGTCAAAAATGAATGAACCATAAGGAAGGGCAATGCCTCAAACAACTGCATTGTTAGGGCCAGAAAGTCCCCTGGGGTAGGCAAGTTCCTGGGAGAACAGATCCATAGTGCACTTGCCACTGACACTGCATCTCTATTCATAGCAGAGATCCTAAGAAACTCAGAATATGACCCAATCTCTCCAGGAAACACTGTGTATGCTCAGGTCATTCATCCAAACATGGTGAGTCCTTTCAGCTTTATACTTCATCATTATCATTGTTTTTAGTCATTCACAAATTTGTCACCACGATTATCTGATTAATACAAATATGTACACCATTTAGGAAAGGAGAACTGCAGGCATTGCAAAGTTCTTTGAGGGACCTTTCCAGACTCCACTGCTCTGGCCCCAGTGGAATGTTCACTTATGTCCTTATTGACACTGTTCTCTAACTGTTTAATGTTTTAGTAAATGGTTCCTTCCGTTTAATTACAAGCTGCCCAAGAGTGAAAATTAGGTCTTCCTCTCTCTTCCCCTATGTCTTAGCATGATGCTCAATAAATACTTACTGAGTAGATCTGAACTTCAATCAAGTCTGAGAGTTTGCAAATGAGACAATTCTATAGTAAGGGCTTTTCATCTGGATGCGCAAAAAAGAGGGGTGCTCAGCAGCAGTCTCTTGAGAGGAGAACAGGAGCAAGAATTTGCAAGTCCTCCACAGTAGAGGACACTATAGGCATGACCAGCCCTCAATTCTCCCCACCTCTTTAGCAACATAGCCAGATGGCCTTGGTCAGGCATCAACAATTTCCTACCACCTGCAAGAGGCATATTTCTGAACACTATACATCTTGAGAGGCCAGTTTCCATGTCAACTGAAAAACAGCCCAAAGAACTCATCACTCTCCAACCGTTGGGAGCAATGGTCTATCTAGAAATCTTGGATCACCTCATACAGCCCCTCACAGGTATTTGCAAAGCAGGCTCTTTGAAGAAAGAAACACATAGGGATACTCTTACTTCTTCAGATATTTCTGTCTTTTCAATTTCTTCTTGGAGACAAGATGAATCACTCTCAACAAACCAAGAAACTAATCTGCAAATTTTACTTTTTTGTTAGTACAAAATTGTACTTTGGAGAGTTTCAGAGGTCTTGATAATACCCTAATATTCCTTAATTAATTTTAAATGCCAAAATCTCTGAGCATAGGAGACTTCTGCTGTTATTGCTATACTTTGTATTCCAAGCAGAGCCACTCTCAATATCACATGTTTCTACTACTCTACCAGTTCCTTCTGTTTGAGGAGAACCCAAAGACTTGATGACCAAGCAGTTAGAATCACAGGGACAAAATGGAGCAGGTAATACCTCCAGTTATAACCAGTAAAGATCTGAAGCAAAAGACAGTAGAGTTGGTTTCAAGATGAAAACGTTTTATTTTCTTTACAACATATGTCGAGAAGGTCATCACCCTTCTGCCTCTCTCATCGGTTCTTGAGCCCAGTGGTTTGCTGAGGTGTGCTTCTGTTTGGGGTTCAGAAAATACCACTACATTTTCACATGTTTCAGTGGTATTTGGTTTCCAGCTCCTCTTGCTAGACACTCCCTAGCATTCCTCTGGAAGAACTTTGTCATACTACCTTTCCCTGGGAATATATCTATGCATGAATATCTCTTTGTCTGTGTGAGCCATATCAGTATGATTATTTATTACAGAAAACAGAAATCCCAATATCTATGAAAACAATGTTTCCTCTACAATTTACTTTACAATTCTCAATCCAAATGGGTAAGCCCATGATTGTCATATGTTCTTACATTCTTACCTCTCTTATCAGACCTACAACTTTGTAAATGAAGTAAAAGTTAAGGAGCCATTTTACAGATGCACAAATGCCAGTAGCATACAGAAAGTCTCAGGACATCAGCAAAACACATGCAAAAAGTTACCTTGTTTTAGGATCACCACTTGTATCTGAGATTTCAGCCTATTTGTTTTTTAATGTAATTCTGCCTTATACTATCAATACCCCTACTGCCTTCTAGTCCTTGCCTTACCTTCTCTGTAGTCCTAGGGGGGTGGCCTAGAACTCTGGTCCATATTAAGCTACTTCACTTTCCTCTTTTTCCTACTAAAGTAAACCCATTTCTTCCAGGGCAACTGTCATCATCTAAGTTGCTGAAAGGTATCAAAGGATTTCAGGAGTGACACATCTTCTCCTGATCCCATGGGAGAGAAGAGTGCTTGGTTTCTGCCTGGAAACAGAGTTTGAATATCTAGGATTATCACTTCCAACCCTCCAGACTTAAACCTGCTTATCCCACCAAAAGTTTAAGGAATAACATCATTTTCAGCCTGTGACCCAAATAGCACTAGTCTGCTCCAGAACAAAACATGCTTTAGATAATATACCTGGAAACTAAGCAAATGGGATTATGGTTGACAAAAGACTATAATTCAGAAGATAACCATTTCTCTCCTTTTAGATAGCAGCAGAACTGTGACTGAGCAGCAGAGCTGTGGGAGAGAGTACAGCATGTTAGTTACATGTGTTGTCTCTAGAATTGGATGGGCCCATGCTCAAATCATTTACCCTAGACATATCTCCTGGTACATGCTACTAAAGATCTTGGACCTTTGGTCTCCCAGAGTGAAAAAGAAGGATGGTAGTACATCAGCTGTTACCCAAACCAGGAATTTGAATTATCTTTGACTTCAGCTTTTTCTTCACTAGGCCCTTTGGAGTATACCTCCAAATATATATCTTAAACCTATTCACTTCTTTGGAAATCTTCAGCCACCATTCTATATCTAACCATCATTGTCTCTACTCTGGAATGCTACAGTAAACTCTGAACAACTCTCCCCAAATTTGCTCTTATCTTCCTTTACACCATTCTCCACAAGACAGCAAGAATCATATTTTTAATATGAATTGGATTTTTTACTTGTCTGCTTAAAGCTCTGCAAGATTTCCCCATGCACTGGAATGAAACTGTACCTCCACGGCTCTGGCCGGTTTGGCCCATCTCCAGCCTCAGCTATCATCACTTTCCCACCTCTATCTCTATTTATCCTCCCTGATCTTCCTTCAGTTCCTCTATCAGAGGAAAGATTTATTTATGTTGAAGTTATTCATATCTGACTTAAGGCCCTTCCTCTGCTTGCCTGACTTCTTATTCTTTCAGGCTTAGTTTACATATGTCTTCTAAAAGAAACCTTCTCAGCCCTGGCCAGTGTGACTCAGTTAATTGAAGCATTGCCCCATAATTGAAGGATTGCAGGTTCTATTTCAGGCCAGGGCACATGCCTGGTTTTCAGGTTCATTCATTCCCCCATCAGGCAGATGTGTAGGGGAAGCAGCCATACATGCTTCTCTTTCATATTGATGTTTCTCTCCCTTTCTCTCTAAAAAGCAATGAAAAAATGTCCTCATGTGAGGATGAAATACAATAAATAAAAAATAAGACCTTCTAAAACACTCCATCTGAAGTGCCCTCCCCATTATACTGTCATACCTTCCATGTAATTTATCACATGTTAATAAATATTTATTTTTATTTGTTTAATGTATGTTCTTCCTCCTATACCATAAACCCTCCAGGAATGGGGATCATAATGATTTTATTTATCACTGTTCCTCTAGCATAGTATCTAGCAGATATCAAATGTTCAATAAATCTTTGTAATAAATAAATAAATATGTAATAAAGTTTTGTGAGAATTAAATAAGACAATGTACCTGAAGCCTTTAGCATGGTGCTTAGCCCATAAAAGAGCTCAATAAATGTCAGCTTTTGTTGTTTATTATTGTTATTACATTAATTTACATTCTTCTGAACTGATACAATTTTTTCACAAATTTTATAAAATAAAGGAGAAAAGATACATTGTCTGAGCCCTGCTTTTCTGTCATTTTCTACCTTTTCTCAAATTCCATTATTTTACCCCATATGAAAAATAACACTCCTCTTCTCCTGGGAAGAGTTCTCTGATTTTTTTGTGGGTTCAAGTATTTTTTAATGTTTAAGAAACACTTTATTGAGGCATGATTGACATACCAAAAACTATACATAGTTAATGCATACAACTTGATGAGTTTGTAAATAAGTATACATTTGTGAAACCATGATTATAATCAATACTGTAAATATATTCATCATCTCCAAAAGCTTCCTTTATCCTTTTTAATTTTATTAATTTGTAATTTTTTGTGTGTGATAAGAATACTTACCATAATATTTACCATCATAAATTTTTAAGTATACAATACAGTATTGTTGACTGTAGGCACCATGCTGTACAATAGATCTTGGAGACCTATTCCTCTTGCATAACTGCAATTTTATACCCTTTGACCAACATCTTTTTTATTCCCCCTCCACTTGTCATTTGGTGACTACCATTCACATTCTGCTTCTATAAGTTTAACTATTTTAAATTCCTTAAATAAGTAGGCTCTTATGGTGTGTGTGTCTGTCTGTCTGTCTGTCTGCCTTATCTCACTTAGCACAATGTCCTCAACATTCATCCATGAATTTTATTTCTTTTGGATATATATAGTCAGAAGTGGAATTGCTGGATCATATGGAAAAAATACCATATGATCTCACCTTTAACAGGAAACTAATCAACAAAAAAAAAGCAAGCAAAATATAACCAGAGACATTGAAAGTAAGAACAATCTGACAGTAACCAGAAGGGAGGGGGGAGGGGATAATAGGGGGAAGAGTTTTCAGGAACAACTATAAGAGACACATGGACAAAACCAAGAGTGGGTGGTGAGGGTGGGTAGAAGCAAGGCAGGGAAGTGGGTTCGGCTGGGGCAGGGAGTGGTGGTGGGGTAAATGCAGACAACTATAATTGAACAACAATAAAATACTTTTTTTAAATTCTGTTTTTAATTTTTTGAGGAAACTCTATATCATTTTCCACAGCAGCTGTATCAATTTACATTCCCACCAACAGTGTACAGGAATGTACAGGTTTCTCCAAATCCTCATCAACACTTGTTATTTTTTTTAAAGATTTTACTTATTTGTTTTTAGAGAGAGGGGAAAATAGGGAGAAAGAGAGAGAGAGAAACATCAGTGTGAGAGAGAAACATCAATCCATTGCTTCTCATATGTGCCCCAGTCAGGGACAAACCTGCAACTGAGGTCTGTGGCCTAAACAGGAATCAAACCAGCAACCTTTCATTTTGCAGGACAACACCCAACCAACTGAGCCATACCAGTCAGGGATTTAAAAAAATTTTAAATCTCATTCAAGCATATGTCTATTGATTTTAGAGAGAGGTAAGTGTCAGAGAGAGAAACATCAATGTGAAAGAGAAGCATCTATCAGTTGCCTCCCACACATGCCCCAACTGGGTATGGAACCTGAAACCTAGGGTTGTGCCCTGACTGGGGATCAAACTCGCACCTTTTTGGTGTACTGCATGATGCTTCAACCAGCAGGGAAATACTTGTTTTTTTATTTTATTGTTCATAATAACTATTCTAACAGATATAAGGTAATATCTCACTGTGGTTTTGATTTGCATTACCCTAATGATTAGTGATGTTGAGCACCTTTTCATATTCTTGTTGGCCATTTATATACTTTCTTTGAATAAATGTCTGTTCAGATTTACCCATATTGAAGTTAGGTTATTTGTTTTTTTTGCAATTGAGTTTTTTGAATTTCTTATATATTTTGGATATTAATCCTTTACCCAATATATGGTTTGCAAATGTTTTCTCCAATTCCATAGATTGATTTTTAATTTTATTGTTTCCTATGCTATGTAGAAGCTTTCTAGTTTGATGTAATCCCATTTGTCTCTTTTCTGCTTTTGTTGCCTTTCCTTTTAGTGTCAAATCCAATAAATTATGGTCAAAACCAATGTCAAGAAGCTTTTCTCCTATGTTTTCCTCTAGAAGTTTTACATTTTCAAGGGTTATGTTTGTCTTTAATCCATTTTGAGTTGATTTTTGTGTATAGCATCAAACAAAGGTCAAATTTCATTCTTCTCCACATAAATATACAGTTTTCTCAGTACCACATATTAAAGACCCTATCCTTTCCCCATCTTATATTCTTGGCACCATTGTCAAAGATCTTTTTACCATATAGTCAAAAGTTTATTTCTGAGCTCTCTAATACACTCCAGTTGGTCTCTATGTCTATTTTGTCAATACCATACCATTTAAATTACTGTAGCTTTGTATTAAGTTTTGAAATCAGGCATGTGATTCCTCCAACTTT